CGGCGAAAAAGGACAGAAACCATTGTGACACGTAGACAGGCTCGACATTGAGTGCTTCAAGGTGCGCATGAAGATTCGGTCGATGACGGGAGAGCAGCGTCTGGAACTGATAGATGCGCAGGTGGAGGCCAGATAAAGTAGGCAGGAAGCACGATCGGAGATCATAATGGTCCATAAGCCTGAGAAATCGTCAGTGGTAAACGATGAAGAACTAAGAAGAAGGGAAAGTTGGCTCACCTAACGAGCACAGAGAAGGCCTCCGCTTCGCTCATGTGCATCAAAAGAGGACCAACGACGAATCCAAGGCCCTGACAGTACCCGATCTTTGTGTCATGGAGACTAAAGCATTTTAGAACTTTGGCCAGCATCTGCTGACCCTCGCCGTTGGGGTCCCTAAACATCTCCACGTTGGGAAAGCTTCTGCCGATATCCTTGCCGATGAGACCTTCATACGGGCTGGATTCGCCGCTCAGCTTGTCAAATTCTTCCTGGAGTGCCACATCTCTAGCACCAGCGATGCTGGGCCAGACAACGCCCCGTAGAGGTGGAGGCACGCCTCCTCGAATCTTGTTGGACGTGAGCGTAGGGAGCCTCTGGGCCGTTCGGGGATAGTCTGCGACGATGGCAGCCCAGAACTCCAGTTCGGTCATCTGAGGGGTTGGGAGTTGCGAGTATCGGAGCGACGACCGAGGATCGTTGACCAGTTTCTTGAGCTGGTGGATGGAGGGTGGCCTGGACGAGCGCCTGGGCTTTGGACTGCCGGACAGCGCTGATTTGGGGTCGGTCGCGAGGGCATCGTTCTCCTGTTCCAATCTTGCCAGGAGCAGAGCGGTCGACTAATAACCGGATTAATCTTTCTTTCCTATTCACAATCAAAAAGGGACAATGGAATGTCAATCACTGACGGCGTCATCCGCTGGGCCTGACTTCGACTGCAGCTCTTCGGTTTTTTCCAGCTCTACCCAGTCCACAGACCTGGCATCGTCCAGCTCCTTATTCTCGACAGTCTCGCTTGCGACCGCAGACACGGAAGATTCCCTCCTAGACGATGCATCTGAACCAATGTGGCCTGATCCAATCTCATCGTCGAGGGTGATCACTTTTGCTTCTGCATCTGCTTCGCTGCAGGGACTGGCCGGAGAGATAGAGGTAATTTCCGAGAATCTGCGGTCAAGATCTATCTCCCTCGGGCTAGGCTGAAGGTCCGAAAGGGGCACGGTGACCATGGAATCCGTGGGGAGCCGCTCACGAGCTGGATCCTCGATGCTGAGCGAGGGGGGTCTAGAGGCCCGTTCCGGCGTGGATTCCATTGTTCTCTTGCTTTTCTTTTCCTCTTCTCTCTCTCTCTCCCTTCTTTTTTTCCCCAGGCAACACCTTGTCTACCCTCAGGCTTCGATAGGTGCGGTCAATGCATGAACGGCGCCTTTTGTTCGAAAGTGGCAGAGGGGCCTTGTGAATTAAAGGGGAGGGCGGGGAGGGAGGGATCAACGGCGAGCAGGTAAAAATAATATGTTTTGTCTGTTGAAAAAGGAGAGGCCTTGATGCCTCTAGATGTATACAGTAATGACTGGAAATGCCGACAACGGCACGAGCAAAGACAGGTGCAGGTTAGGAGCGCAAGGTGCCGCCAGCGACAGGGTGGTTTTCGACTGGCGATCTCGACGAAGAGTGCCGGCTCGACTGGGTCTCCTGGCAAGCTCGTCTTTTGAGTCTCATCGTCGGCCCCGTCAGGGGTTCGCGGCTTGGCGGGCCGCTCGCTAGTCCAGAACGGTCTTGGACGGGGGCGAGCGGAGCGTCGAACTGCTCGCATGACGGGAGGGGGAGGGGACGAGAGAGAGTTCCACGTCCATAGGGAACGGTTGTTCCTCAATATATACGGGAGTAGGTACGGAGTCTGGACTTTATATTCTTTTCTCCGCTGTCAGATGGCATCAGTGGCCCAGCACCGGATCATCCACGCACGCAGATGGCTACGACCCAACTACATGCACTGTCGAACTCCAAGGCTCTTCCCCCCATCCTGGCTCTTGTCAGGCCGTCACCATATACGAAGCAGGAGTTCTCCGCATGGAGAGTTGTCGGATGCGACGAGCAGATGCTCAAACCCGCCCCGTTCACACGCGAGATGTTTTGGGGGGAGACAACGATGTGGAGCGTGCAGCTCAGTCAATGCCACCCGGTCCCCCCACACGTCCGCGCTTAATGCCTGCGGCTGCACTTTTGTATATCATCAGTAAACACTCTGTCAAAGTGGCTTCTACGTGAGTTCTCGCCCGCTGTTTCGTCTGCTGCCAAGGGAGCTCGAGCTTCAGGCTGAAAATCGGACGGGAAAAAAAAAAAAGAAAAAGAAAAAAAAAAAAAAATGTTAGGTAATCCAACTAGCACCTCGCTCACGTGACCCACATAGATTAGCCAAGATTCCCCTTTAGGTAGCTTAGTGAATGACAAGCATACAAGTCCTCCATCAGGTTATAGCCCTTTGTGCTGAAGAGCAAGTGTATAAGATTGATTTACAGCTCAATTGGATATTAAAGCTTATGATCAACATCCTGAATGATTATCCTTGTGGGTAATGAGGTTTTACAAGCACAAGAGAGAGTGTATGTTGAGATAGATATCTTCTATATGTGCAATCTCTGTAGTTTTCTAGCACTGAGCTGAGAAGTGAGTTGAACCCTGTAGCTTTCTGACATGTGATCAGAGAGTGAGCAAAATGCCTGCTAAATGCATCTAGCAAGCAAATTGAGCACCTGGCAATGCCAAAGCCATGATAAATCATACAGATGAACTGGAGCACTGAACTCCTGACTGAGAGACTCCAACAAACCTTTCTATACCCCAAATCAAACTTAGATGGTTGAGTAGGCTCAGAGACAGCCTGTCAAATAATGAGCAGAAGTCTAGAGAGAAGAGTGAACTCTAAATATTACACAGAATGATGCTGAATCAACAGAAGATAATACAAAAGCAACAGAAGTTGATGCAAAGACAACAAAAGACAGTACAACAGCTGACACAGCAAGTGAATCTTCTATCAAGCCAAGTAAGCACTGCAAATGCACTTGCAATGATGCAGGAGAATCTAGAGCACAAAGCTTAACAAGAAAAAGAAGAGGACTGAGAAATAGACTCTGATAAAAAACTAGAAGAATATGTCAGCAATCTTATAGATACAAATATGTGAATTGGCAGAGTAATCACCTAATTCATGAAGATCATGAAGATAGTGAAGAAGTCTATAACTCTGGCTGGAGCCAGTAACTACCTAGCATGAAGCAAAGCCATCCTAAAGATAGTCTGCCAAGTAGATGTTGAGAAGATTATTCTGGAAAGACAAGAGACTTCACCACAGCCAGAGCACTTGAAGATTTTATAATACTGAAATGTTCAGAATAATTAGCTATACAGCCTAATTAACAGCATAATATCTGCACAAGCCAGAGAGCACTTTAAGAAATCAGATAGTCTTAGTGCTTACAAACTCTGGAAAGCTGTAAGAACAGTCTTCCAAGAGAGACCTGAGATACAGCAGAAAAGTCTACTTATAAAGTTAGTAAGAATGACACCACAATCTGCTGGCTCAGAAAGAAATTATATAGAGAGATTTCTAGCAATCTGTAAGAAATTTGAGAGATTAGAGTTCAAACAACTGGATCACACTCTATATGATATCTTAAAGATAAACATTACATTCTGATGGAGAGAGTTCATACAGAACTAATTTAATATAGCATGCTAGAGTGAAATGAACCTACTGAAGAAGAATCTGAAAGATCTACTGAAGAATATTCTTTACTGAATCCTCAAGAAAGATCAGAAGAAAGACAGATCTACAAAGCTAAATACAAATGCAACAAGCTCAGATTTCCAAAAGTTTTACAAAAATACAAACTCTGAATCCAATCCAGAGAAGAGCTTACTGCAGAACTGGAACTGCTATATTTGTGACAAATCTGGTCATTTGGCTAAATTTTGCAAATCTAACAAGAATTCAAAGCCTAACAAGCCCAAGAAAGACTCTAAAGACAAAGACAAGGAAACAACTACAGTTGCAATGGACAAGATCCATTCAGTTCACAAAGCAGCCTTTTCTACAAGAGAAGCACACAAATCCACAGACAGATGGATCCTTGACTCTGGAGCCAGATCCCACACAACCTCACATACAGATCTAGTTCAAATGGACCCAAAGAGCCATGCAACACAACTGCTTATGGCAAACAGTTCAAAATTAGTCACCAGAGGATTTGGCACGGCCAGTATCCAAACTGACAACAGAGAATTGAGCATTGGGGGGGTTAGAATTGTGCCTGACCTCCAGGTTAACCTCATAAGCTTTGGGAAGCTTATACGAGACGGCTTTATCAGTGAAGCCAGCGAAAATACGGTATCGCGGCGAACGGAGCTAAGCCTAAAGAAGGAATAAATCTGGATTCTGTAATTAATTTTTATCGCGGATTTGAGAGATTTGGAAGCTTTGGATCTTTGTGGCTCTCGCTCGCTGCTGGAGCTCGTTGCATGGGGGGGTGTTAGGTAATCCAACTAGCACCTCGCTCACGTGACCCACATAGATTAGCCGAGATTCCCCTTTAGGTAGCTTAGTGAATGACAAGCATACAAGTCCTCCATCAAAAAATCCGGCGCGGAGAAATGTAAATCCACGGTTGTGTTTTCATCTTTCCTTTTCCGGTCTAGTCTTTTGGAAGATTGATGTTCCGCGTTGGCTAGTCCTAAAGCGGACTGGCGTGTTTCAGCCGAGGCGCGTCCAGGGGGCGCCGAGAGAGGAAAACACGGCGGGAAGGGGGAAAAAAATGAAGTCAACAACAAACAACAAACAACAAACAACAGACAACACAGGGACCAGCCAGCGCTTCCGCTCTCTTCGCCGCCCACGCTCGCTGCAAACACCATGAAAGCCGCCGCTGGGCTGTCCTGAATCGAGCCGGCGCAGTGTCCTTCACTCGCATCCCAACCCCTCGCCCAATCTCTCTCTTTTTTTTCGTGATCGTCATCGACTGATCATGAACTCCCCTATCGACTCCGTCTTTGAGGATGAGAGCGCGAGCTCTGACTTTATGCCGGACCCCGCGCCCGTAAGCCCTCTCCTTCTCCCTCACTGGGTGCCCCCCAACTTCCACACTGACATCGCGAGACTAGAAAGCCAGGGCAAAGCCGAAAACGACCGCCGCGAAGAAGACTTCCACGGCAAAGGCTCCCGCAAAGAAAGCAACTCAGACTACGCTCAAGGTCAAAGCCGCCTCCAAGTCGACCGGCGTGAAGAAGCGCCCTCAAAATGAACCCGAAAACGATGTCTCGAGCGATGAAGATGTCGACATGCTGGACGATGATTCGCTCCTCTCGAACACGCCGCCCAAGCCCGTCAAGAAGGGTAAGGCCGTAGGGGCCGCCAAAAAATCTACCGCCAACCCCCTTTCGACTGTGCAAAATGAATCGGTCACGAACGAGGCGAGCAGTGGAAAGTCTAGCGACCAATATCAAAAGGTGCTTCCCAGACAATCCCTCCCCCCCCCAAAAAAAAAAAAAAACTTCAGAGCTAACAGGAGGCCTAGCTTTCCCAAGTCGAACACATCATCAAACGCCCCGACACGTACATCGGTTCTATCGAACGCACCCAGCAGAACATGTGGGTTTACAACTCGACCACCGATCAGATGGAATACCGGGAGGTCTCTTACGTCCCCGGTCTCTATAAAATATTTGATGAGATCCTGGTCAACGCTGCCGATAACAAGCAGAGAGACAACAACATGAGTGAGATAAAAGTCACTCTCGATATGGAAGCCGGAGAAATTAGCGTGTGGAACAATGGTCGTGGTATTCCAGTCGAGATCCACTCGGTATGTCATCTCTCATATTCCTTGGCATCCGCGGCCAGCTGTTGACCAATTGACCAGAAAGAAAAAATCTACATCCCGGAACTGATCTTCGGGCACCTGTTGACGTCCTCAAATTACGACGATGACCAAGCAAAGGTTACCGGCGGTCGAAACGGGTACGGCGCCAAGCTTTGTAACATATTCAGCACCGAGTTTACCGTCGAGACAGCTGATTCAAGGTCCAAGAAGAAGTACAGGCAGACGTGGCAAGATAACATGTCCAAGATGGGAAAGGCCAAGATTACAGAATCCAAAGGGAATGATTACACAAAGATCACCTTTAAACCTGATTTCAAGAAATTTGGAATGGAGGGGATGGACGCAGATTTTGAAGCCCTGGTGAAGCGCCGCGTCTATGACTTGGCAGGTACCTGCCGAGTCACCGTCAGGCTGAACGGCTCAAGAATTCCCATCAGCAACTTCAAAAAGTACATGGAAATGTATACCAAGGCCATCAAACGCGAGCGCGGAGAGGAGGCCGCCTCAGACAAGAGCGAGATCGTAACAGACAGCACCGAGCCCCGATGGGAGATTGGCTTCGCTGTGTCGGATGGCTCGTTCCAACAGGTGTCCTTTGTCAATTCAATAGCAACTACCTCTGGAGGAACCCATGTCAACTATATCAGTGATCAGATCTGCTCTAAATTAGCGGATGCCGTGAAGAAAAAGAACAAGACCGGACCCCTCTTGAAACCTGCGCAAATACGCAACCATATATTTCTGTTTGTAAATTGTCTGATCGTTAATCCGGCATTTACCTCTCAAACAAAGGAACAATTGACCACAAAGCAAAGTCAGTTCGGGAGCAAATGCGTCCTCTCGGAAGAATTTTTGAAGAAGATTTTGAAAACACAGGTCATGCAGAACATCATGCATTTTGCGGAGCAAAAAGCGGACCAGATCCTCAAGAAAACTGACGGAAGTCGTCGAGCCCGTATGAATAACCCGAAGCTTACGGACGCCAACAAAGCGGGAACAAAGGAAGGCCACCACTGTACGCTCATTCTCACCGAAGGAGATTCCGCCAAGGGCCTTGCGATGGCTGGCAGAGCGGTTGTCGGTCCTGATCTCTTTGGTGTTTTCCCGCTGCGGGGAAAGCTACTCAATGTTCGCGATGCGTCCGTTGACCAGATATCCAAGAACCAGGAAATTCAAAATATCAAAAACTTCCTTGGTTTGCAGCACAAGAAAGAGTATACTGACACGCGGGGCCTTCGCTATGGCCATCTCATGATCATGACAGATCAGGATCATGACGGAAGCCACATCAAAGGTCTACTGATCAATTACCTTCAGGTGGCTTTCCCCAGCCTGCTCAAGATTCCCGGTTTCTTGATCGAATTCATTACTCCAATCGTTAAGGTTTGGAAAGGCGATCCCAAGAACCCTACTGCGTCCAAATCGTTCTTCACCCTCCCCGAATATGAAGAATGGAAAAAATCTCACGGCCACGATCGCAGGTGGGACAAGAAGTACTACAAGGGTCTGGGAACCAGTTCAACGGAGGACGCCGAGGTGTACTTCCGAGACTTGGATAGACACTTGAAGGAGTTCCACGCCATGCAAGACACTGAAGCGCAGTTGATCGACCTCGCCTTCTCCAAGAAGAAAGCAGATGACCGGAAAGAATGGCTCCGCCAATTCAAACCCGGCACCTATCTCGACCATTCCGTCGATAAAATCACGTACACTGATTTTATTAACAAAGAACTGATCTTGTTCAGCATGGCGGATAATATTCGTTCGATTCCCTCGGTTGTGGATGGGTTGAAACCTGGGCAGCGAAAAGTTCTGTATGCCATGTTTAAGCGTAACGTGAAGAAGGACATGAAGGTTGTTGAGCTTGGTGGTTACGTATCTGGCATGACAGCCTATCAGCACGGCGAAGCTTCCCTTCAGCAGACTATTGTTGGCCTTGCACAGACGTTTGTTGGATCGAATAACGTGAATTGCCTGGAGCCCAGCGGCAATTTCGGTAGTCGTCTTCAAGGAGGTTCCGATTGCGCCAGTGCGCGTTACATCCATACCAGACTTTCGCCATTTGCAAGACGCATATTCCATGCCGCCGACGAACCTTTGCTGAAGAGCAACATCGACGACGGCAAGGTCATTGAACCCGAGGTTTATGTCCCTGTTGTACCGATGATTCTGATAAATGGTGCCGATGGTATTGGCACTGGCTGGAGTACATCTATCCCGAACTTTAACCCCGAAGACGTTGTAGCCAATTTGAGGCGTCTGATGGATGGTGAATCTCTCGTGCCGATGAAGCCATGGTTCCGTGGATTTACCGGCGAAGTAACAGCGTCGGGGGATCGATACAAGTTTAGCGGAATTATCAAGCAGACCGGTGATTGTGAGGTCGAGATCACCGAGCTTCCTATCAGAACTTGGACTCAAGATTTCAAGGATAAGCTGGAGGAGATCATCAAGGCCGAGAAAGCACCATCCTTTATCAAGGACTATAAGGATTACAACACACATAGCAAAGTCCATTTTATCATACAGATGGATGAGAAGCACATGAAGAAGGCGCTTGAAGATGGCCTTGAAGAGAGATTCAAGCTATCGAAGACCATTGCCACGACAAATATGGTGGCATTCGACGCGGAAGGGCGGATCACAAAATATGACACTGCGGAGGACATTTTAAAAGCTTTCTATGCCGTACGAATCAGGTTCTACGAGAAACGAAAGGTATATAATATCAAGCAAATCAAGTCTTTGATCCTGTGTACAAATAACACTGACATTTCGTTTAGCAACATCTACTCGCTCAGTTGCACAAGGAACTGGATAAATTCACCAATCAAGCCAGATTCGTACAAATGATCATCGACGGCAAACTTGTCATCTCCAAAAAGCGAAAGCCCAAGCTGATCGAGGAATTGAAAGAAAAGGGATTCAAGCCCATTCCAAAGGCTGTCGACGCAGCCAAAGAGGGTGAAAACGAGCCGGCTGTTGAAGAAGAAGAGAGCGAAGAAGATGAGCAACTCAGCTCAGACGTCTTCGACTACCTGCTTGGTGTAAGTATGGCCGAACCACAGTTGGCTTGGTAAAATTAAGTTAACTTTGTGTGCTCAGATGCCCTTGTGGTCGTTGACCCAAGAACGAGTTGAGAAGTTGCTTCGTCAAATTGGCGACAAAGAACTTGAGATAGACGCGCTCATTAAGTTATCGAAGGAAGACCTCTGGAAACGGGATCTGGATGAATTCATAACTGAATGGAGAAACCAACTCGAAGATGAGGAACGGCGAGCCAAGAAAGCTCGAAGCTACGGCAGACGCACTTCAACGAAACTCAAGACGGCAGGTCGCGGCCCCGCATCTAAGAAACGAAAAGCACTTGGGGATGACGACGATAGCGACTTCGCACCTAAGGCAAAGAAGGCGACAGTAGTAAATAAAGTGAAACCCAAGGGCGGACTCCTCGACTATCTCAGCAAACCTGCAGCAAAATCGAAAACAAAAGCCACGCGCCTTGATAGTACTAGTGAGACTGAGGATTTTGAAGCAGAAGTCATACCGCAGAAGAAATCGAGAGCCGCTTCGAGCAAAAAACCAGAGGCGGCTACTACATTTGCCTTCAGTGACTCAGAAGATGATAAAGATGACATCCTTTCTAAGGAGACGGACGAGAAGGCACGGGAACCCGCCAGGCCTCCGTCGCCGGACATTCCAGCAATCTCAGATAGCGATGACTATAAACCCAAGCCAGCAAAGAAAGCGACCGCTGTGTCCAAGAAGGCTCCAAAGGAGGATGACGATTCTGACATTGAAATTGTTCCAAAGCCACGCCAGCGAGCAGCTCGCACAAACCGAAAGCCTATCGTATATGATTCCAGCTCGTCTGAGAGCGACAACGGCGATGACTTGCTCGGTGATGTTAGCAAAATGGTCAAAGGCCTAGATTCTAAGAGCGCAGATCCGGTCTCAGGATCCCCCACACTTTTCTCTTCCGAATATTCACGGCCTGGCGCCGGCGTCGGATCCAAACCAGCTCCCAAGGCGCTAAAGGCCAGCACGGAGTTTGATCTCGACGAAACAGATTATTCGAAGCTGATTCCACTGAACTCGCCGCGCCGCTCTCTCCTCGTTAAGCCCAAGGATGGAAAAGATACAAAGATGGATTTAGATGAGGAAGCGAAGCCCGTGCCCGAAAAGGCTAAGCCAGCGGTTACAAAAGCCAAGCCTGCACCTAAGGCATCAGCGAAGACGACCAAGGTAGCATCCTCGGCTGGAACCCGTACGACTACTCAAAGGGCGCCGATGAAGCGTGCAGCAGCGTCTACGAAGCAGTTGCAACTATCCCCAGCAGCTAAAGCCTACGCCTCCAAGAAATCCAAAACAAGCAAGGCACTGGCTGACGGTTTTTCGGACGATGATATCGATGCAATGGCCAATGACATTCTCGATTCATCTGGATCCGAAGATGAAGTGGCCGCCAAAGCTCCGGCTGCAGCTCCCGCAAGGGGGCGGCCGGCGCGTCGTGCAGCCGCAACCGCGAAGAAGCCAACCTACGTAATCGATGATGACAGTGAAGATGGAATCCCTAGCGCCTCTTCCAGTGATGATTTTTCTGACATTTAACGGGTAGTATTGGGTGGGCGCATTACCTGGATGGGGGTATTTTATGGGGTTGGGCCGGTGGGGACTGGTCGGACATTGGTGGATGAACAGGTTTAACTTACAGCAGACACAGGTTTCATTCGTCCTTTTGCCCTGGATCAGAGTTTATCTGTCCTCAGTATTGATATGTGGCCTTTCATGTGTATTTTGTGGGTTTTATACGTATACTACCCAAGCAAATATTATTCTTGCCCATCCCTTACCCGAGCCATCTGCGTAGATTTCCCCTCTTGTCTCTGTATAATAATACTACAGGAACCTTATGCTCAGGGACCTAGCTTCGCATGGCTTGGTTCCGCTGTAACCAATGCAGACGCCCGGTCCCGCTGTTACGGGAACCGTGGGGAAGAAAAGAAAAGGAAAGGAAAATACCGCCATGCATTTCGTAGAGACAGGGGCGGTTAGTTACATGCATGTTGCCCGCTTTCACGCCTGATTGGTCACTGCTGTGCATTTCTTGACGGGCGAAAAGGGTTCACCAGACTAGAGTCAAGTTCTTCTCTAGAACCGTAAAATTATTCTGCACTGGCTCAGTAACTCGAATATTTGACAAGGTATGTGCATATGTACGCAGTATGAAGGTGACTGTTAAGGGAGTGACAAGTAAGTTAGCTCACGCATCCCAGGAAGGTCAATTTCCATGACGGACCCAAGTTGCGGTTTCGTAGCTTCTTGACCCGCACGCTGGTTTGGTTACATGCTCGGTCGGCACAAGTAAAGGTCAAATAACCCGTTAGCCAGAATGAAAAATGGAAAATGGAAACTGGAAAAGAAAAAGAAAAAGAAAAAGAAAAGGTATCCTATCGTCTCTATGACATATGACGATGTGCGCTGCGACTGGAGGAAAAAGGTCGAGCCGGGCGGAAAGTTTCCTGTTCAGGGATGGTCAACATCACACCTTAATTCAACTTCATCTCGCCTTTTCTTCCTCTTCTTCTTCTTCTTCTTCTTCTTTATTTTCTTCTTCCCTCTCCCACTCGACCACCAGCCTATTCCATTGACATCGCAATTGATCCCAGAGACTTACATCCGTCATCCGCCCTGACTCACATTTCGTTCCACAAACAGTGGCAAAAGCAGTTCGACTCCACCGTGTCGCGAGGCTCCGCGTGGAGAACTAAAGTGAGCTTCCACCCCATTCTCCCGGAGCCGCTATTCGCCGTCCCTTGCTGGCAGACGGATAAGACACCGCCCCGGATTTCACTGCGGCAGTGTCATCGGCTGTTTGCTCCTTTCTTTTTCTTTTTCTAATATTTCTTTTTTTTTTTTTTTTTTTTTTTTTTTTTTCTTCCTTTTTTTTTTTTGGGAGGAGGTTTCTGAATGGATGAAGCTTTCGCGGCCATAGGAGCTTGCTTCCCTTGACAGAACAAAAGTTAGCTTCTGAAACCAAGTAAAGAAGCTAGGCTGTTTCAGCATTTCTGGACAGTATCACGGAGAAGCTATCGTGGGAGCTAAATAATATACCGTCAAGTTCCCGCCAATATGGGCTTTGACGTGTGGTCTGAATGAGACCTGAGTGGAAAGACACAAAGCGGATGGGAACTATGTTTCATGATGCTTTCTAGAACCATTTTTCCTTCTTTCTTTGTGAATTTGTCCATTCGCCCCCTGATTTTATTAGGCACGGCTCTTCAATCCGCCCCTTTTCGGTTGGTGGGCATGTGGGTGGGGATTTTCTGCCGTTGAGAATTTCCACGGGTGATTGCATCGAAGAGAATTCTGGATGCATGGAAGAATACTTCCCACGCGATCTCGTTTTCTGTGAGGAACTTACCTTGCTCTTAGAAACCCTGGACGAACGGCCCGGGAAGCTGTGTGCCCGGTTTTCGTCTGGAACAAACGCGGCAAGCCAACGGGATCGAAAATGAGAGCGGAGCATCCGGCCGTTCATTCCCTGGACTAGACCTAGTCTTTGGTTGTGGATGTCTAGCGGGTCTGGTGCGTAAGTACCACTTCCTTTGAATCCGGGGTAATCAGGTTGCACCGATCAGATTATACCGTTTTCTCCCTGGCTGTTTGTGTATCCTGCATTCACGGGGAAAGGCGGGAATAAAAGAGCAGGGAAGAGGCGAATGAGAATTGTGGGTGCCATGGCTTTAGGCCTACGTTTCCTTGAGCTGTAGGAATTCTCCGATTGGCTCGTTTTATCTGACCGGTTTCTCTTCAGTCTTACGTTTCGGGACAGTTGAATTGGATCTGTGGGTATGAAATGCAATTTTCCGTGACACGAGTTGCGAGACTGCAATGTTCCGCACGCATTTCAAGCTTGAGGCTTTGTTAGACCATTCCGTCTGACATCACCGCCCATAGGTATGGAGTATTTCACCATCGCCACGCTTGCTCCTAGGCCATCCTGAGCGGTTATGGGCCGATATAACAACATACGAAACGGATATCCCGAGATTTTGCTTCTGGAAATTCAGATCTCGAACATCTTTGCGTATCCCCTGATTCTTGCAGCACGCTGGCCATCCTCTAACATCTCTGCTGGCCTGCTCGATGCTAGTGATCGAATCTCTGAACGACTAACTGAAGGCGGTAGCTTCTGATATCCTAAATAATAGCGATCCAAATAACCCAGATATGTCTCACTCCGTTTAGACCCGGCTCCTTGCAGATGGAACCTAGGACGGATTTCGCCTCGATGATTGTGTTCCCTTGTTCTGCCCCCAGAACAACGTTCCTAGCAATCATAGACCAGGTCATTCCATTCCCCCTTTCCCCTTTTATTTGGCGCCTCATCTTTATTGTGCTGTTGGGAAAGTTTTTCTTAAACCCATCCGTCAGGGAGTCAGGGTAAAAATTGACTCTCTCAAGTATTATTGGCAGTTCGGACAAAGTGCGACAAACGACGATGGCTTCCGACAATGAGATCCCGTAGCCAGGATGACTTCATATCTTTTGAACCCACACTAATATCTCCGGATTCAGGATGCGGATTGCTAATCCATCGAGCATGCTCTCTGAGACCTGCCCATATCGCTTTTATTGGGCTTTCCAATCATTGTTCTAGCACTCCGCTTAGCCAACCATCACAATAGCCTCGAATTAGCAGATCAACGTTAGTGGCTACCTTCATTAATTAAAAAAAAAAAAAAGTGTCAGTGGCCACGAGCACTTTATGCTTCTAAATACCGCTCTTACAGGTCTCGGGTAGCTCTTACAAAGGTATCGGGCCGTGCGAGGAGAGATACTATGGATGCTACTTGCTTCAGCGTTTTTGCACAATCCTCCCCTGATTGTCAAAAGCCGCAGTCTTGTTTTGGCATCAAATGCAAAGACCGGCATTTGGCTTAAGCTTCCCTTTAGCTTCGCGTTTCCAAATCTCTATTATCCTCTTTATTGGCTGAGATTGGCTTGTTTCATCTATCCAGGTCTTTCTTACTGGTCAGTGTTTTAAGCCCTTCCTCGTCCTCGCCCATTCGCGAAAGGCGCAGAGGCACTGGGCATCTGTGGTGTCAACTTATCTCTTCTCCACTGCTCACACTTCTGCCTGAGCTAGACCTTACCAAGTCTCCAGCTTTGAGTCCAATGTTAATAGCCTCATTAGCACTTATTCATTATTTGACACCATCACAATGGCATCCATTGCATCCCTACTAAATCCGGAACCAGAAGATTTTCAGAGAAGCCATCAGCTTCCTACGCCGTCTTCCAGTCGATCAAGAGACTTTACTACAGCACCACAGAGACAGAAAAGGCAAAAGTTATCCAAGGACGGTGCCGTCTTCACTAGAGGAAAGGTCAAGGGCGAAGTCAGATATCCTCCCTGTGAGTACCAAGACACAGAGCTAGAAAACGCTCATAGAGAGTTTGAAATCCATCCGATGGGACACATTACAGAGTTCCCTCGACATATACCTTACAACAGCGAAAAGAAGTCATTTCTTGAAAAGACTGGACGGGAAAGCTTTGAAGGTAAGTCACATTATACTTTTGTTTGATGTATCTAAATAACAGAGCCTAGTTTTCCAATATACGTTCAGAATCCCCGGTGAAGATAAAATACATACGGTCATGTGGGATTATAACGTTGGCCTCGTTCGAACGACGTCGCTTTTTAAATGCAATAACTACCCCAAGGTACGTTTGAGAATCTGAATGGGAATGTTCGCTATGCAAACCTTGCTAATAGACACGTAGACCGCTCCAGGAAAGATGCTCGATGCAAACCGAGGCCTTCGAGAGATATGTCATAGTATCACGGGCGGAGCTCTAGCCGCACAGGGTGAGCCAGGCTTTCGCTTTCGTTTTCTTCATCTTTCTAAGTAAATAATTATCTAATGATAGATAGGGTATTGGATGCCCTTTGAGGCAGCTAAAGCCGTTGCGGCTACGTTTTGCTGGAGGATCCGATTTGCCTTGACGCCACTATTCGGGAGGGAATTTATATCAATATGCATTCCACCAAGTGACGAAAGGTTTGGCAGAATGATCATTGATCCGGAGATCATTCGATCAGCCGCTAGCACTGCAGATCGCTTGCGTCATCTAGAAACAAAGCGAAGTTCGCCCAGTTTATTGCCGAACACTATTGCATACTTCCCAGGCACTGAAGGTTCGGCCCGCGCGCATGCGAAGAACCTAAGGCTTAAACATATTCGCAAGCCTGTGGTCAACTACGAACATGACGAAGAAATTGCCAGTCGCGAATATTGCCGGCCTCGCGCACTTCCCCACAGTGGCTGGACTGCTACAAACTCTTTGCGGACAGCATCCTCGGCGCAACTTAGTATACCGTCGCCCGGGGAGATTCTCGCCTCCCTCTCGGGCATTCACGACAGGCGACGAAGGGTATCGGCTCTATATGAATCCGACTCGGTCGCTGATGACGTTAGTCTGCCACCAAAATCAGCTGCATCCGAATCAAGCGATGGCTCCTATACCGATGATGGATCGATGATGGAGTCCTCGGACTCTGAGCCGGACGACCCGCTAAGAAGGAGGAATTCTCCTTTACCGCTGACGAATGATGCAAGAGCAGCGTATATGCTGATGCGATTGCATATGCAGGAAGCTGTGGGGGTGGATGATGATTCCCAGCGGAAGAAGCGTCGAGCGTCGACGTGAGATACCTAACTCTATTTTATCCTCTCTTGGTTGATACGCCTGAAATGGAGAGATTGTTCCCCCATTCCATGTGTTCATTTGGGAAGGTTTAGGGTCTGCAATGTGTTTTCGGATACTGTGGGAGAAAGAAATTGGCTTTCGTGTTTATCAATCTAATCGTGTCTTTCACTCATTTGGCTGGAAGTCTGAAAACGGCAGCTATGCACATTAAAGGAGGGACTTTCTTGTTATGCGTTATTGATTGGGATACTGTTGGCAGATATTGGCTGAGTATGGGTTATGAGCTCCGGGATGGAACTCAGGTATTGGAGTCAGGAGGCTAGACCATGACTTTGCTCTCTAAAAGTGCTCTCCGCTTCTTCCGCTGGCCGATGTTTTGTATCAGCTGTCTTCCTCTATGTTAATTCCGGATTGAGTTCGTTTGATTTAAAGGTGGATGGATTCTCCGAACTGATATTTAGTGTTTAATAACTAATTTCGGACTACCTTTTGGCTCCTTCTGAAGCTTACCGCAAATTATTGAATTCGAGGATAAAACATGCATTACTTGATACGTATGTCCTGAATCAAAGAGCTTTGTTCCAGGGTCCATCACAATTCGATCGCCAATATCGATTAGTATATAACATTCTAATCGCCTACCTAAACGTCCTTTGGACCGTTTGGACGATCACGCTGCCAATCACTGGGGATCTTCTCCCCCTCCAAGGCCCTCCAGGTCTTCTCTGCATTCCCACATTCCTTGCCCACTGGGCATGGACATCCATACACGGGATCATCTGTATCAGACAAATGCGCACGATCCATGAAGATCAGACTCTTTTGCATATCGCCCTCGCAGATCGGGCAGCACCACACCTGCCGCTTGTCGCTGCCAAATGGCTGCAGGATAAATTGCTTGTTGGGGCAGTAGTCGTTTTCGATGGCCGCAGAGACGTCGCAGACAGGGATAGTCCAGATTCCTTCCATGGAGGGACCTTCAGAGAAAGGATTGTTGCCGTTTTTGTAGGCTTCTGTCATGCGGGATGAGAATGTTTCAGCGGAGTAGTCGTAGCCACCGGCGCGGTGGGATTTGATAGAGGATCGGATCACGTCCTATTTTTGGTATTAGAACCAGGATTATCCTTTATTTTTTTATTAAAAAAGAAAAACCCCGGGGGGGGGGGGGGGGGGGGGTGATCGCTTTACCTGCGGTGTAATGCCTTCAAAGGCGCCAGCACCGAGACGGTCGCCTCCCCATGGTGGAGCAGTCCAGCCCCAGAATGTGTGCAAGTCATTCTCTTGCCAATAATACAAGTACCACGCCTTGCCATCTTCGCAGAGCATGTACCGTCCATTAAACTGTTCGGAGGTACCCTCACCGACTCCCTCTCCATCACCGCAAGAGCCGCCACCAACGATGAATACACGCTGCTTTCTCCAGATGCTATTGATTGCGATGGCTTTGAGTGCAGTAAACGTGTTTTCAGAAAGAGTGGCTTTATCGACGCCGGTGAAATCTACCCAGAAACCATCTTTGAGCCAAGTGTCGAGGTACATATCGCCAAAGGTTCTGCCATCCATGAGTTCATTGTTGCCCCTGATACGCGAGTTGGCCCAGTCCAGCGTTAGCTGACCCAGGGCCTCGCCGAGCTCAGCACTGATCTGGAAGCTTTCATCCTCTCTAGATTGAATTTTCAGCAAGGCGTAGTCTCAGAACAATCACTATGCTGTGGAGATGAAGACTTACGGGTTGACTGCATGATAGGTAGAAGTCATCGAGCCGGCGACCAAAGAGGCTGCGACAGCACCCGTAGCAGCAGTTGCCTGGGTTCCCAGAGCAGCTAATCCACCAGCAACGCCAAAGAGTGTGGCAACAACGTTGAGGATCTCCTTTAGATACGTAGCATCCTTGCCGCCATCTCCATCGTAGAATAGCGAAGCCCAAGAATCTTTGGCAAAAGCAGCAGACACGACGCTGGTCTCAAAAGCCTGGCCAACGCCCAAGAAGTAGTTATGAAGGTTGCTAATGGCTCTCAAGGTGTAGTAAGCGTTGCGAGTGGACGCGCCCTTTCCATTGAGGACACGGTTGTCGCAGACGTTCAGGTCGCAGTTGTTGGTTGAACCATCGTCCTTGCACGTCCAGCGGTCGTCTCCGAGCGCCCACTGACCCAAAGTCGCTGAGAGACCTAGAGAATTCCGTTGATCTGAGGTGTTAGGGTTGGTCCAGACCTCCTCGATCCATTGATGGAACCAGCCGTCAGTGTTGTATTTGATCCAGTCCTCGCGTCTGGGATTATAGAACTCTTCGACGGGTCCGCAGCGACGCTGAGGTGCGGCCAGAGGGGTGATAGGCAGCAATGCTGCGATGATGAGGCCGAGATACTTCATCGGGCGAGCTTTGTCCCCTCCTATGGAAAGGAAGACAAGTGGGAAGGGAGTATAACCACGATTGGGGAAGAGAGAGCTGAAGCATTACTACACCATCTCTGGAGCACAGAGATTCCTTTTTTATTTATACTGTGGGAACACCTGGAGCACATGGCTCTGTGGAGCGCTCCGACGACGGAACTGGGGGAGAGAGACGGTGGAGACTGCGGATATCCCAATCCAGCATGATTCTGCAGGTATCTAACAAGCTAAAACAGCGAAGGAAGCCACTGCAGCGGGGAAACATTCTCCAGCCTGTGCAAAAGTGCTGTCCATCACAATCTTCCGTGGGTGCCACTGGGGTGCATTCGTGGCACGGGGGGAACAAAAATGGAAAGCCATGATATCTTTCAGAAAAGGAGATATTCCGGGGGAAAAAAACATCTCCCTGTCCCGTTTCACGGACTCTTGCGTAGATCCGGGAAGTTTACAGTATTGCCACGGGACGTGACGGGACGTTGATGGCAGCTTGTCCTTGTGGCGTGGTTCCTGGTCGCTGAAGACGGTGATGGCTTTCATGACCACATGATGATAACGGAGGAAACACTCCGGGACATCATCATCACTAAAATGTAGAAAATCAGGCAGTGTATCTGTGGAAAGGCATGCATCACCCCCAAGCCCAAAACCCCAGCCCGCCGATCGGCATGTTGAGCACATGCACACATGCTTGCGGAATTCTACATCTAGTAATCCGAAAACACGTCCGGTTCCTAGGAGAAAATAAAATATGGAGCTTGCGATGGAGGCCGTGGAGCAGACCTGCCCATCGCAACGGCGCTGGCACGGGGGATCGCTGCACAAACGGGCGTGTTGACGAACTGGCGATCTCCACTGACAACGTCGATCGGTCGGCAGGGAGGCGAGAGTGGCTTTTGACCCTGCTTGGCTCCACAGACCCTTCCGCGACGTCGTCATCGGACCAAAAAAATGACATGTTGTGTACGAGCGAGCGAACAACAGAGTTGATGATGTGAAACGGAAGGTGGAATGTGGGTGAGGTTGCAGTACGAGCAAGCTACTTGACTAGTGAACAGGATCTCGTCGACCAAACCAACAGTACGGCCGAAACCAGATGGCAAACGCAGAGGGCGCGACATGCAGCACACGCCAGCGGAACCTCAGACAACTTTTAACTAGCTGGTAGATGCTGTGGAGCCATTGCAGAGCTCGAGAGAATCGTCGGAGCAGGGAAAATGCCGCAGACGGATGCTTCATACTACATAATTACAGAGAAGCACAGAGACGCGAAGAAACAAAACCCGCAGGCGCCATGGTACTGCAGACCGGGGGGTAGAAGGAATCATATGAAGACATTAATAGAGCCATACATAAGTGGGATGAGAAAGAAGAACAAGAATGAAAATACACCATTTGTTGCGCGCCTTTTTTTTTTTTTGGCTCGAATTTCATGTGGGAAAACCGAGAGAATGAGAATGAAAATGAAAATACAATCTCCTAAACTGTTGTCGCTTTTGAAAACATGGCTTTCCTCCCCGTCCAAGAAAAGAAAACATCCAAACTCGTCGAATTTCGCAGGGGTATCCCATTGTGATCCACCCAGTCTGTCGGAAAGTGGATGGTCCCCTTTTGTTAGGAATTACCTCTTGATTGCACCCGAGGCGACCCTTCAAAGGCGGCTTACATCGCAGCGACTGGCTCTGGAGCAGGCTCTGCGTGTTCCTCCTTTGTGTCCTCACGGAATTGAGGGAGAAGCTCGGTCTGTGGAGCCGCCGGGAAATCTGGATGCTCAATCGCAGCCGGGCCTGGCTGAGGCTCGGCCTTGACTGGGGTGTCCAGGATGTGCTCCTGCTTTTGCTTCGGGGATGCCGAGTGGGCGAGAGGAGTGACGACGTATTCGTGGGCCTTTGCACGATATTCACCAACATAATGTTTTACAATGCCGGTGGCCTGGCTGGTCTGGGCTTCTGCCATCTCCTTGACTTCCCGTGCGTGGGAGTTGATCATCTCCTGGAGAACATTGATCTGCTCGTCGATAAACTCCTTGTTGCTGAGATAAAACAGAGGTCCAAGGTAGGCAACCGTCACGCCAATGAGGGCCAGAACCCAGAGTGGTAGGAACCGCACGAGCCAGTACGATGTAAGGGCAGCCGAGAAAGTCTGCGAAAGTCAGCATAGAAATGCGAGATGGACGCGATTTGTTTGGGGGGAGACATACGGCAAGAGTATATGACAGGTTCTCGACGAACAGAATGCGTTGGAACTCGATGAGGAAAAAGTCCATCAATTGCTCGAGGTCCTCAAGCACGCTCTCGACCGTGTCCTTGGGGATAGTGTAGTACTTGCGAGGACGAGAATTGCTCATCAAGCCGCGACCGAAGATGGCTCGTCCACTAACTTCGACAATCGCCGTGACTAATCAAGGGAGTTTTAGAAATCAGATTCGCTCCCGTCTCTAGCAACTCCGAAAGCTACAACTCACATCCAAGGGAAATGTATAGTAGCTTCAAGGCCCAGCGGAGCAATGGAAGATATCGACCTGCAATGATCATAGCCACGACGCTGGCATAGGAGGCAGCTGTGGTTTGAGGGCGCTCCCACTATCTCCCGTCAGTAAACCCGTCAATGTCGCATACACGCACACCGCTGTATCTCGGAGACTTAGAAGGAGGGGGGAGCTCACGCTGAGCAAGCTATAGACGAGGGAGTGGTAGTCTGATCCGAAACGTCAGCCGGAGGAAGCGGAAGAGCAGGAATCAGCTCAAAGAGATACGTACGAGTCAAGGGCTGTCCGGGCGCGGTCTTCTCGGGACTTCCGTTGGTAGATCTGCGATCGGTATCCCCTGTGAAGTCTAGAAAGATCGTAAGACTTGTGGAAGGTTGAAGAGATCAGCTGAATCATAGGTTTGATACACACCATCGTTAGAGTGCACACTACATCACTTGCAAGGCTCTCTATGATGAAGGGTCAGGATGTGATGCTCCTCAGTCCAGGTTGCCGGTGAGTGACTGTGTAGAAACGACGAGTTGTTGTCAGTGTCTGGGGAGCTGAACATCTGGCAGGGTCGGAGAGCCCCTACTCACCTTACATTCTTCGGTTGTCAATCCTCCAGTGGTGCAGCAGCAATATTTACCATTGCACAAGAGAGCCAAACAAAGCTCAAGTAAAGAAAAGAACAGCATGGATGATGTTGGTTCTTACCTGTGTGTGGGATATCACTCGGAGCAGATTCAGCCATTGTGGGCGCAGTTCTCCAGGGTAAGCTTGTTCTTTGTCTCGATGCTGTGGTAGTTGGGCAGGGTGGAAGAAGATAGGTAAGCAAATATAATGTAGTTAGTCAAGGGAGAAAGTAAAGAATGAGCGAAAGAAGAAGAAAAGGAAGAAAAGGAAGAAGAGGATGAAGAGGATGAAGACAGAGTTGGTGTTTGAGGTTGGTTTGGTTTGTTGGTGAGAGTGCGAAATCTTGCTTTGTTTTTAGGGAGTGATGCAATCGTTACAAACAGGAAAATCAGTCACAACAACAACCGTTTTGTCTTCCAACGTTCTCAACTAGGTATAAATACACTCTCTCTGATGTAGACATTTTCTTTTCTCTATTCAAGATGCCATCTGTCCTCTGTCCTCTGCCGCCTGCTATCCTCTCACTCTCTCTCCCGCCCTTCTCTCTCTCACTCACTCTCACTCTGAATCGCTGATGCCTGCTCCCTCTGCTTGCATGTGACAAACGGGTGAGTAGTTATTCTATTAATAGGATGATCCCTACAACCGCCAGCTCGTGAGGCGAGAAAATGTCCGATCGCACAACACCCACTCTGTATTATGGCTAAGGTGGCATTGTCATCAGAAGAAATTCTATTCCATTCCCATGGTATAACTAACAATCTAACGCTTAAAAAAAGAAAGGAAAAAGGAAAATGAAAATGACAATGACAATGACAATGAAACGCGCCTATTGAAAGTACAGATAACCCGGATGTCCATCTAGTAGCTTCGAGGGAGGTCGAGAACCTTTTCGCTGACGAAATTCATAATCATCTCCTACCAATCAAGCCCGTTAGCAGGTGGGTTAAAAAAAAAAAAAAAAGAAGAGACTTCCAACTGCACTTACCCGGCTAATGGGCGCAATTCTCGGCACAAAACATTCTCGAAGATATCTCTCGACGTGGAATTCCTGGGCATATCCCATTCCGCCGTGTGCGAGGACCTGAATTTGTCCGACCGTTAATTTAGTAGGAAGGGGGAACGGGAGAAAAAAAAAAGTGACAAAAAAGAAAAAAGTCAGGTCATTCACGTACGGCTCTCTCGCAAGCAGTGAATGCCGCCTCCGCTGCAAGGAACTTGGCGGAGTTGCAGGCCACCCCGACCGTATGCTGCGAGATGGATTTGTCCGTCTTGCTCGCATCATAAAGTCTCGCAGCATGGTAGGTTGCTAGCTTGGCTGCCTCTAGGTTCATGTACGCCGACGCCAGCGGGTGGGCGATGCCCTGGTTCTGGCCGATCGGGCGGCCAAAGACGACGCGTTCTTTAGCATATTTGGCTGCTTTCTCCAAGGCCACGTAGCCCAATCCCAGGGCCTCTCCCGCAAGCAGACACCTCTCGGCATTCATCCCGTGAAGGACCTGCGGTCAGGAGATGAGTAAAAAGGACATTCTCCCCCACGGTAATCCAGAAGACGGGGCCGACGCACGATTTTGAAACCCTCGCCTTCCTTTCCAATGAGAGTATCGGCGGAGACGCGGTAGTTGTCGAAGAACACTTCATTGGCATCAACGCTCCGGCCACCCATTTTCTTGATTTTTCTGAGATCAAGACCCGGTGCATTTTTATCAAAGTCGATGAAGAAGAGCGAGAGGCCCTCAGATGGCCTTTTGACTTCTTCAATGGGCGTCGTCCGGGCGAGAAGGACCATCTTCTTTGCGACCTGCGCGGAGGATATCCATCTAGTCAAGCCATCAGCGAACGCACGTTGTCGGTAGGAGATATGTGGCTCTCACATCTTCTGGCCCGACACCCTGTAGTGGTCGCCGTCTCTGGTTGCCGTAGTGCGAAGTTTGAGCGTCTCCAGCCCGGTGTTCGGCTCCGTCCTAGTGACCTGTTAGCTGCCAAGCAGTCCTGTCATCCCCTGAGAGTCCTCTTTTTCCTACACTCCAAAACAGGTTCTATATTCTCCCGCTATCAGTTTGGGTAACATCTGTTGTCGCTGTTCTTCCGTGGCAAATTTGGCGACAGGCTGTATTCCTATGAGTATAATATGATTGAAGTTGGCGTATAGGTGAGAGAGATTATGCTTACCTGGGTGGCATAAACGTTGGCGTGGATTGATTGAGCGCCCGCGAGCCCGGCACCGCTCCTAGGAAGACGCCATGTGAGTCGCTCTTGACTCGAGACAAGCAATTGGGTATCCCTGGTGTATATCATACTGAGCGATTGTGTGCAGCATCATGGTAGCTTCTGAGATGCCGAGTCCTGCGCCGCCCAGTTCCTCCGGCAGGGCGATGCCTATCCAGCCATCTTTTGCAAGAGCGGCATGGAGCTCATGGGGGTATTCTCCGGTTTCATCGCGCTCCGCCCAGTATTCCTATATAGTTCCAAGAACTGCGATTAACCCCTTCACTTTCCTGGTCTCCCTGGCGACGGGACGATTTTTGAAAGAAACGCATAGCGTAAACCTACATCGGGGAAATTCGAGCAGATCTTTGATATAGCATCTCTGACCATCAGCTGCTCTGGCGTGAAACAGCTTAAATCCATTATTCTAGCAGGTGACGACGCGGAAAATGCCCGTGTCTGGGACAGTAGCTGCTGTACGCCCCGTGCACGAGCTGCCTGCTGTGAGGCGGGCAGTTGGCGGCACGCGAGGGAGAGGAGGGAGCGGGAGAAGAGCTTTGATGCCATTGGTGTCGTGTTTGATCACTATATGATGTACAATGAAGAGTAATTCGGCATTTACAGGTAGAACTACAGACGGTCATTTGATATTTATTGACCTGAGATCGCCGGCAGCGAGCTTGAAGCTGCTTTCGGCTCGGCAATTCCGGGGCAAAAATGATGCGCATTAGAGGCGAAGGTTTGTTCGTTTGGGGGCCACTCCGGGGAAGCTCCGAAAGGCATCCCATCCCGCAGCAAACGGCATGGCTGCAGCAGACCATGGCAACGATCAATATTCGCTCCGCTACCCTCTTCCTCTCCCCTTGGTCTTTAATCCTGTTTTTTGTCTCTCTCTCTCTCTCGCTTCTATTTTTATCTTTCTCCGTCACCCGCGATTATGTCATGTCGTTAGTCAGCATGTACCACGTGATTTCGCGTTTTGGTGTGTTTTGATCTCTCGAACAGACGAACGACAAACCACCGCAACGAACAACAACCGCCGAACGGACGAACACACCCGCCCACAGACACACGTCGAGTCTTCCGCTGCCCGAGGATGCTGCACGGGAGACGTACCTAGCCGTCTTTTCTCCCCATACTGCATCTTATTTTCCTTCAAGCTCGCCGTCGTGTCGCCCTATTCGCCCTCTATTGCGCGTTTGTTTACACCATGGCCTCCACGGCCTTCAAGCTGCAGAAGCCGGTCGGCTCCGCAGAATGGATCGCGGCAGAAAAGGAAAACATTATGTATCTGGTGGACCAGGAGATGGAGGAGGTTGAATTTCCCGTTCGACATGAATTGGATTGGCTGAACGAGCACATGGCGGAGGTCTTCCGGGGAAACCAACTGTACGTGTCCTGTGTCATGCTGCTCAATGTTGGACCGTGCGTTACTCACTCAGGCACAGCAATGTTACCGAGATATTCAAAACTCCCGGAAAACTTCGCGGTAAAACGCCCCGCACGATCAGAAAGCACAAGACTCCCGCTGGGCAGGCGCGTGTTGTAAGTCAAACTACATGCCACCATCCCCCGTTGTTCTTGCATGCAACTCAAGTTCGAGGATTATCGAGTCTAACATCGAACGCTAGCCCCTGAGCGATATCTTCTCTTTACAGAATGCTAAAAATAGTCCTCTCCCGACAAACCGATTCCAGCAGGAGATCTCAAAACTAGCTGCTCGCAAGGAATCACCTTCGAAACGGCAGTGGCCATTGTCAACTCTGAGCCAGAACTCCAATCCAAATTACAATACTGACTCGGGCTACCATGATATACCTGATGATGACCATATGCATGTAGTCTCTTCTCAGGCCACCGAGCCCGACCCGGGAGCCGAGGAGACTCAAAATGAGCCGGAAGTGGAACATGAACAGGAACAGGAACAGGAACATGAACCGGAACCGGAGCAAGAGCAAAAACAGGAGCAGGAACAGGAACATGAACAGGAACCGGAGCAAGAGACTGCAACGCAGCGTATTGATGAGTCAACTTTACTGGCAGAAGATCATGGTGACCAGAGTCCCTCTATTGCCCGCCGGACAACAGAGGATTCATTCCATTCGGCAAGAGAGGTCGCCGCGAGCAAAGAAAATACTGTCGAACCCATGGACTTCGAGTGCTCGCAAGGCCCCCAGCATCACAACTATTTACAGCCGGTATATCCTACCATTCAGCCCGAAGCACATGATACCTCCCCGCAGGCACAGCCCCAGCTCTCCCACGCTTATCATCCGCCAGCTTCAGGACCACCAGAACATGACACGATGCTTGATCATCTCGATGATATAGGTTCTCCGTCCGAAAAGTCGACCCCTGGACGCCCTCTTCTCCGGAAGAGCAGTCTCACATTTGCATCTCTCCCTGCCAGAGAACCGCTGATGAAGAAGAGCATGGGAGGCACCAGAATGTCAAGACTAAGCCAGATTGATCCGGCCAAGAATGGCTACTTTGGTCGCCAAACTGGAGGAGCCAGGATGACACAGTTTTTCAACGAGGAAAGAAACAAGGAGGAGAACATCAGCGCACCAACGCATGAAGAGTCGGACTCGGACACCAGGGCGACCAAATTTCATAACAAGTCGTCCACACAACTCCTTCATGAGAAGATCAATATGCTTGGTAAGACTCAGTCGACGAGAAGCACTAAGTCTATTGCATCGGCCACCTCGTCAGCCGCGCAGCAGATTGCATACCCTGAGCTCCCACCTTCTCGCCATGGACCTTCGACCGATGGTCCAAAGCAGTTGGCTCGCGAGGAATCACCAAGAATGGGCGATTCATCCATGCCACCTAGCTCACCGTTCTTTGCTCGACATTCGCAATTTGCCCGGGATCGTAGTGTAGAGATCGCGGAGAAACCCAAGTCGAGTCTGTCTTCTTCCAACCAAGATCAGTATGCGAAGCTTCGATCCTTACGTACAGGAACTCCAGAACGACGGTCTCCGGCGCCAAGATCATTTATCTCACATGGTAAATCAGCCTCTGTTTCTTCGCTTGCTGGCTCTCCACGTCCCGGCACTGCTGGGTCTTTGCATAAATCCACCACGTTCGATGGCACCCCCAAAAGTTCTACTACTCCCACGGGCTCTCCAAAACGTTATGAAGGACCTCTAAGTGCATCCAAGTCCAAGCTCCAATCTATAATGAAATCTGCCAAAGGATTGTTTAGCAGCAGCGCTGGCGCGTCCGCTGCAGCGAAAGAAGCCATATCACCCAATTCGATGCGCTCAAAACCCACAGGTTACCCAAGTCTGCATGGCACCTTTAGTCAGGCTTCCACACAGCAATATGAGCCCGAGAGCCCGGTGAAACAACAGGGCCGTCGAACTCGGAGTTCTACGGAACGTGAAGAGAGACGCAGAGAACAGGAGATGAGAGAACGCCAGCGTATCCAGGAACAATTGGAAAAGGAACGAGAGGCAGAAAAAGCAAGGACTTCCCACCCTAAAACCCCACACAACCCGCCATCTGGCATACAAAGATTGGAGGCTATTGTTCCTCCTCCAGCTCCAGGAATCAAGTCAAGCCCGAAGAAGGTGCAGGCACCACCCAGATCTGCAACCAGAGACTTGGAGGATCGTCGTGAAGAGGAAATTAAGGCTCCAATTTCCGGGTTTCCCCAAACACAACCAAAGAAGAATGAGCGTCGACCGGTCAAACCGACGCGGGAGACACAGAAGGCAAAACCCCAGCCAGTTTCTATCAAAATAGGGACGCTATCTCAGCGTATTCCATTAAATTCGGTTCCTTCAAGTGCGCCTAGCGTTCAAGATCCCACTCCCACACCGACTCTGACGAAGCAGCCGTCAGTCAAAAAGGCGAGCATTGCTTCTTCTCATACCAACACTTCAACAAATAGTTTTAAGAGTTCAACTACCGGTAGCAGCACCAAATCGAAGGCAGCCTTGGCCGCTGAGAGAAGAGAACAAGTAAGTATTTCGCCTTTGTATACTTATCCTGGTACTAACAATCGGTAGCAACGTCGTGAGGCACAACAGCGACGAGAAGCAGAGCGCAAAAATCTCGAAGAAGCACGTCGCCAGGAACAACTTCGCGCGGAAGCCGAGCGAAGGGAACGAGAGCGTGCGGCCATGTTGGAGGATCCAAAGAGTGCTGCGAAGAAACAAGCAATCGAGAAGCGGAGGCTCGAAAATGCACGAAAGGCACATCAGCAGAGAAATCAACAACCTCCACCGGCCAACGACACGGTAAGTAAACGTCATCCATTCGTGCTGTGATGATGCTGATGTGATTCTTTTCAGTCCCTCGTTTCCCATCAGGAGAAGTCTAGCTTTCGGTCTTCCCAACGACCGGATATGGGCCCAGCTAGGCCTGCTTCTAGACTGAATAATGTTCAACCACCTTCTCGACCTCAGCCGATGATAAACCCGGCCAAGCCGCCAAAGCGTCCGAATGAAGAGGAGGCAGTGCGAACAGTATCGGGAAAGCGGAGGAAGACCGACGACGAGCTTGCAACTGAACCCCCTATGCGACCAACAATGGCGCCTCCAATTCGTCAATCTAATGTTCGAAAAGTAAGCACGTCCAACTTCATAGATGATGGAGCGATAGCTGACTGAAGAACAGGAACTTAAAGCACAAGCATTCCCGGGTGGCTATGCAGGTGCACCAACCATGGGACATAGCCAAGCTGGACTGCCAGTGTTCAAGCACCCGACGAACCCAGCCCGCCCGCTACAGACTCCAGGTCACCCTCAAGCCGGCCGATCGGCTCAGCTATTAGAGATGTCCAAGTTCGCAAGTGGCAAAATCCCGTTCGCGGACTCAAATCCACCACCTCCAGCCGCTCACAAAACCCCTGGACACAAACCAGCACACAAGGTTGCCCGCTCGCCAGCTTATCCCAATGGTGAAAATATCAAACTCCCCGAAATCCCTACAGACAGCGAAGAAGAAGATTCCGAGGCGGAACCGTATCACGTACCCGAGTGGGCGAAAGCAGATAACCTCCGAACCATCCTCATCGAGCAGGAAGGCAAAGATGGAGAGATGGTGTTCGGGCCTACTGCCCCATTGCGCATGGAGGAGATATTTAGAGATAATAAGGAGCGGCTGAAGAAATTTAGGGATCGAACTAGTAGCGCGAATTGGGGTGGTACAGATGGATTGACGACAGAAGAGATCCGGTGGGATATCGAGCAGAGAGAGGCACTGAAGAAGAATGGCGGCTGGACATTTGGCACTTAGCTGCTGTTATGTATAAATACATGTTCATATTCTTTTCGGTCTGGATTGTTTTGGCGTTAATGTTGTCCTTGAGTTTGTCTTGGGGAATGATTTGTTTAATATTGATAACCACAGGTAGAACGCATATACTTGCATACGTATATTTGTTAGATGAAGGACGTTTACCTTACTAGCCATAAAAGCAATTGGAGTTTTTGACTCGGATTCTACACTTGTTAATTTTCAAACAACTATGGAAGCAAAAGGGAAAAGGATCGATCCATCACATTTAAGTTTGCTCTATAATATAAATATCCATTCTAATCTTTCATCTTGTATCCGTTCAATTTGCAAATGATAAAGGAGATGTAACAAAAGCGCAAAAAA